GGCGGGGGCCCGAGCCTCGGTTTACCGGCCCCCGGGCCTGGAGCGCGGAGAGCAGGCGCTGCGTGTGGATGGGGACCTGCGTGGGTCGGAGCCCGGGAGGATCGCGGCAGCGGGCTGCGGGGACAGCCGCGCCTGCACTGCTTCTCCGCTGGAAGGAAAGCGCCTCCGGTGCTCAGCCTGCCAGCTCTTTCGGAATTCGGTCGTTGTTAAATCTGAAGCACAACTGGCGCTGCGCGGGGAGGGGCCGGCGGAGCCCCACGCCGGGAAGCGCTCTAACAACGGCGGGGCCCATCCTAGTTCCCAGACCTGGGGAGAGGTAAATCCTCAAACACATGCTGTGTCAGGAAAGCGAAACCCGGGTGTTACTGCCCGGTAAGCTGTTCTCATTCTCCTTACAGCAAGCGGCATGAAATGAAAAGAAACATTTGATTCATGCAAATTGGAGCTAATGAAACGAGCAACTTCGTGCGTTCGAAAAATCACATCAATGTTGTGTCCAGTGCTACAGGATTTCCTTCCATTAAAATCTAAAGATACTGTGGCTAAGACTGAAAGCAAGAGAGAAAGAAATGGTTAGGATACACGCACACACGCGCGCGCACACACACCCTTTGTTACCTTTTGGTCACTCAAGAATACGTATGAATGTAACCTCACTGGAAATCTGCGGAGATTCCTCACAAAACTAGGACTAGAGGTCCCGTTCATCCCAGCTATTCCTCTTCTGGGTATTTTTCCAAAACAACTGAAAACATCATACCACAGCAGTATATGCACACCCGTGTTTATAGCAGCACAATTTGTCATCGCTAAAGCTTAGAAACAACCCAAATGCCCAGCAACTGAGGAATGAGTAAAAAAGAAGTGGTATTTTTATACAATGGAGTATTACTCAGCTATAAAGAAAGATAAACTAGAGCCTCTTATAGGTAAATGGATGCAACTAGAGACCATACTCATAAGTGAAATAAATCAGATTCACATGTGTAAGCATCGTGTTGTCTCCCTCATGTAAGAACCTGAAAGAGTAAATAAAATCTGAAAGGTACTATAGATATTGTGAAAGGGAAAGGAACTGCTCAAAAAGGAAGAACAACTGGGATGAGGGAAGGGAGAAAAGAAAGAAGAAAGGGAAAAATACGTATGTATACACAAGATAGCTAAGATAATTGTAGCACTAATTTCTATGGTTTATTGAATGGAACAGTTAATGCCTAATTGGTCAATTTTGCATGCCTATATCTGGTAATCAGAACAAGTACTTTGAAAATAACAATATGCAATATAACAATCATTGTTAATTTCTTATCATTCTGTATCGTTTTTATTTTTTTATTTTTAAATTCTCTTTAAAAAAAAAAAACAAAAAACCTGAAACAGTACGGGAGTGGCACTGAGGAGTGCTGGTGAGACGGCCCATACGCAGCTGTCAGGCCATAGGTGGGAAGTAAATTGTTACAGTTCCTTGGAGAGCAAGTTAGTAACCTTTCCTGTTCATTGTTCTAGATCTTTTGATAAGGATTGCCATTGCTTACAATGTACCCAAAGGAAATGCACAAAATGAGAACTGCAGCATGGGCAGAGTTATATATTTGTTATTTATAAAGTAGAAAATTAAAATGCTTTCAGTGGACCGTTTGTGGATAAAACACACTATTACAGAATTCAAGCCGTAATTAAATTTAATTATCACCACTTAAAATGATATTTACATATGTGTACTGTATTATTTTGCTAGACCTGCAGTAATGAAGTACTGTACACAAACTCCGGGACTTAAACAAAAGAAATGTATTGCCTCACAGTTTCGGTGGCTGAAGGTCTAAGATCAAAGAGCCTGCAGGGTGGGTTCCTCAGGAAGGCTGTGAGAGGGGAATTTGTTTCCTGATTCTTGCCTACTCCCGGGGCTTCCTGGCAATCTGCGATGCTCCTTGGTTTGTAGCACAAACCCAAGCTCTGCCTCCGTCTTCATGCACGTTCTCAGTGTGCTCTTACCTGTCTGTGTCCGATTGTCCCCTTTTTATAAGGATGCCAGTCATACTAAAGCTCACCCAAGTGACCTCATTTTAATTTCACTAATTACATCTGCAACAACTCGATTTCCAAAAAAAGGTCAGGTTCACGAGCACTGAGGGTAGGATTTCAATACAGAAAAGTCTAAGGAGGAGGAGGCACAACTGAACCCATGACAGATGACAGAAGGGGTAGCAGATTGAATGGAAACCCTGAGAAGATACACCCTAATGCTGATTCCTGGAACTTGTGAATGTAACTTTCTGAAAAAATCTCACTTACATACTGACGTTAAGGATCTTGGGATGCGATCATCCTGAATTATGCAGCTAGACCCTAAAACCAGTGGCAGATGCACTTACAGGAGAAAGGAAAAGATCTGCAACACTCGTGCGTTGGAGAAGGCCATCGGCAGCTTGTGGAACCCCAGGGCATGAAGAGATGCCACCAGCCACCAGGAGCTAAGAGTTGTAAAAGCTTCTCCCCCAGGGCCCCTGAATGCAGCATGGCCTTGAAATCAGACTTCTAACCTCCATAACTGCGAAAATAAATTGCTGTCATGAAAGCCACCCAACTTGGGATAATCTGTTACGGTAGTTCTAGGAAATTAATACAGGTAATTTAGGGTAAAATTCTATGTATTTGCTTCTTCTTTTGCAGAGAGATGTGTTATTCAAGACCATTTCAAGTAGTCATTTTAATAGCTTTCCTAAAATTTTTAATATATTTTTGAATGGATGAGCAGAAGACATGCTAACAATTTTATCATCTTGCAAATCACATTCCCTAGCGGCCCAGGTGCAACTAAAACTGCAATCAGTGCTGATCTTGGGCAATGGGTTCTATTCTGGGTCCTCACACATGTTATAGGTGCAACTCCAAAATTCATTGTGACATTGATTTGATTAAAGGGCAGTCTCCAAGATTTTATTTCAAAACCACTGTTCTTATTTAATATGCAAAATACCTACACAAAATATGTCAGGCCTAAAGTAATATATGAGGTCATTCTAATGATGCCCTAAAATTGGAGGTTTTGAATTAGAGCTGTGGTCCTAAGGGATGGTATCTGTCCTAAGTGGTGTTGCTTATACAAGTACTATTAACTGATAGAATCATGGAAACAGAGCTTTGATTTTTATGTACAGGAGAATTATTTAAAAAATAGTATTTTATAACTAGAAAGCTGGAGATTTGGGCCTAAGATCTCATTTTAGTCAGAGAAGTAGTTGGACTTTATTTCTCATCTGGGGTCGTTATGGTTTTGGTCTAAAATATCCCTCAGAAGTCCCATGTATTCAGAGGTGGAACTTTCAGAAGGTGATTGATCATAAAGGTCTAACTTCAGTGGGGGATAGTCCAAACTTCAGTAGTGGAATAATCCATTGATAAGATCATAAATAATGGTATTGTTGGGTGGTCATTGAAACTCGGGAAGTAGGACCTGATCATGGGATTGGATCAAGGTGCTGTGACTTTGGGACTGTATCTGGTCCCCAGCCCTTTCTCTTCCTGTCTGGCTCTTCGAGCTTCTCTCCTTCCTGCTACCATGAGGCGAACAGTTTTCCTCTGCCACATCCTTCCACCAAGACATACTGCCTCACCTGAGGCCCAGAAAGAAAGGAGCCAGCCACTGGACTCAAACCTGGGAAACCATCAGCCAAAATAAACCTTTCTCCTCTAAGGTCTTTGCCTCTGGGGTTTGGTCACAGTGACGAAAAGCAGACTAACACAGAGGTCACTGTGTTCATTTTCTGTTGCTGCATAATTAATTATCACAAACTTGGTGTTTTTAAAAACCAGTACTCATTTCTTAACTCAGTTCTGTCAGGTGACCGGGTATGGCATAACTGGGTTCTTTGCTCCCAGTGCAGAAGTCAGAGTGGTGCTCTCAGGCTGTGATCATTTGTGTGACCCGGGTCCCTCTCTGAGCTCCTCATTAACTATCAGCAAGATTTATGTCCTTGGAGCTATAGGGCTGGCTGAGGTCCTTGTTCCATGCTGGCTGTTGGCACGGATTTCTCCCAGCTTTGTGGCTGCTTTCACGTCCTGTTCCTTTAAAACTAGCAGAAGAAATTCTTTCCTCAATCTTTCACCCTTTATAAGGGCTGGTACCCAATTAAGTGATGCTTATCTAGGGTAATCCTCCTTCCGATTGTCTCAAAATCAACTGATTTGGAGCCTTTGCTTTCTTCAAATAACATAATCACAGCAGTGAAGGCCATCCTATTCACAGTTCTGCTCTCTCTCAGAAGGAAAGACTTCTACAGGGCTTGTAAGTTGTACAGTGATAACCCCAGGCTTGAGATTCTTTTCACCAGTCGCTGAGATGGTGGCTGCGAGTATCATTTTTTGCTTGAGAAATTTCTTTTGCACAAGGAAAATTTTTTATCTAGTCAATTTATGAAGCAGCTTGATATGGATTTTTACATAATTTTTATCTTTATCCTATAGATATACAGATCTTTGAAAATTATAGTTTATTTATTGACAGTTGGAAAAGTGTAATAGAGAAGACTGCCCAAGTTTCCTGCTGACTCTGAGTGTGGTGGACTCTGAGGTCAGGGTTTCTTAAACCTTGGGTCATAAGTACCATGAGTTTTTGGAGAGTGTTTAGAGGCTGCGTACTGACCACAGTATGGTGACAGGTGAGTTAACTGTGTCCTCTGTATTGAATGTCATATATACACTAAGTAAATACCTATATTAGTGAATTTTTAGTAATTTTCAAGAAGTGTAGTTTGAGATAAGAAATTAGGAGAAACTCCGCTCTCAGGAGAAACTATTTTATCAGAAACTACAAGGGTTTTATTAGAACTACCCGACTGGGGGAAGGGAGACACCCTACCCAGCCCTGTCTTAGCTGAGATAAGAAATGAGTATTGTCTTTTAAAAACACCCAGTTTGTGATAATTAATTTGAACACGGTGAGCTCTGTGATAGTCCGCTCTTCATCACTGTGACCAAACACCAGATGTAAAGCCCTTAGAGGAGAAAGGTTTATTTTGACTGACGGTTTCCAAGGTTTCAGTCCAGGTTGTCTGGCTCCTGTCTTTCTGGGCTTCTTTTTTCCTGTGAGGCTGGAAAGAACATACATAGTATGACCTTGTTCCCATTAAACCACTGTAAGACAATTTTGAGTATGTATGCATGTGAGTAGACACATACTAAGTTTATGAAAGCATGGAGAAACACATGGGAGGACATACACTGGACCTACTAACATGTTACCTGCCTTGGTGGAAGAAGGGAACTAACGTGCGTGGGAGAAGTGGAAAGGAGGAATACCAAGAAAAGATGGAAAGAAAAAGAAGGACAAAAACACAAATCAAGATATGATGGGATCATACTTATTTATGCAAACTGATATTTTTAAAAATTTTAATTAGAAAAGATGCTGAGTCCCCACTGTACCCTAACAACAACACAGAGCAGAACAAACTGAAAAATCAGTAACTTTTCTTGGGCTTGTCAGAGAAACAAGGTCAAAGTTCAAACTATTAGCCCCCAAATTGCAGAGACAGACAGGTGATAGAGAGAATCCATCTTAATCAAAGCAGAAACCTGTGTGGAAACCAGTAGTCAGAACACAAAAACTGCAGCTACGATTGCTAAGTTGCTGGAAGCTCAAGGCTGACATGTTTGAGAAGTAAAATTTCCAGGGGGGCGGATTACAGGGGCCAATCAACAGTTTTG